GCGGGGAGCCAGTTTCCTGGTCAATATTATAAGGGGACCAGGAGTCCTGTGTCCTGAGAAACGGGAGCCTGGAAACCTGAACTGCTGGGTCTGGGGAGGGGTTGTTTGTCGCTGGGCCACGAGTCTGGAGGAGTGGGCTAGGGGCTGGGTTCAGGAAGAAGGGATTGGGAGCAGGCAGTCCTGAGCCTGAAGGAGGAAGGTTCTGGGAGCGTACATTTGGGTTCTGCAGCGAAGGTTATCATGGGGGAGGGGGTTCCAGAATTTTTTTTGTTTTTGGTTTTGTTTTGTTTTTTGAGACAGAGCCTCAGGCTGTCGCGCTGGGTAGAGTGCGTGGTATCACAGCTCACAGCAACCTCCAACTTCTGGGCTCAAGCGATTCTCCTGCCGCCTCCTCCTAAGTAGCAGGGACTACAGGCGCCCGCCACAACGCCCGTCTATTTTTTGGTTATAGTTATAGTTGTCATTGTTGTTTGGTGGGCCTGGGCTGGATTTGAACCCTCAACTCAGGTGTATGTGGCTGGCGCCTTAGCCACTTGAGCCACAGGCACTGAGTCCAGAAGGTTTGAGTCTTCAGGGCTGAAAGATGATGGAGGCCTGATCTGTTGTTAATCCTCAGGAGGATGAAAGAACTAGGGACTTTGTCCCCAAGGGAAACAAAAAGCTTTTTTCTTGGAACTTCTGGGTCTGAGGACAGGGACTCTGGATCTGAGGAAGGAGGGAATGGGGAGCCCAGACTGTTGGGTATTAGAGAGAAAGAAGGGAGCCAAGGGACTGAGATGGGAGTGGCTGGGATCATAAAGGAATTTAAGGCAGGGATTCTCACGTTGCTACATGCCTGTTTGTGTTACTAATTGTTACTATTTTGGTTGCGATGACTCATGGTCATGCCCACATACCATACTCTGAATGGCTCCTAAACTTTATTTCCTTTTTTTCCCCTCATCTTTTTTTAGCCCAGACAGATGGCCCCAGGCCAAGTGCCCCACCAAGCTGCCCCTTGGAGGGATAGCCACAACATCTTTCTCCTGTCCCCACTGATGGGCTTCCTTAGCCGGACCTGGAGCCGCCTGAGGGGTCCAGGACCTCCAGAGCCATGGCTGATGGAAGGAGTAATAGAAGTAGGTCAGACAGAAGCTGGCCTGGAGGGAGAAGCTAAGGCCCCCCCTGCAACCCACCATGCCCCCGGGGGTAAGCACTCTCAAGGGGAGGGCGAAGACAGGAGAACCTGTGAAGAGGTTGAAGAAGTAGCCAACCTGAAAACCAGCTACTCCCTTCTTGAAGCCTGGGGACTTTCAGATGATGACAGTGGAGAGGATAGTGAGGAGGAAGCAACCAGTGCCGCTAAAGAGCAGGGATGTGAATTTCCAGATGGCCAGCCTTCTACTCTGTCCCCCAACCTTCTGATAAGAACCCTGCAAGGTTCTGATAAGAACCCTGGGGAGGAGGAAACTGAAGAGGGAGTTACTGTAGATGAGGGAGTGACCAAATTCTCTTATCCCTCATCACACTGGGAGTGTTTTCCAGTGGTGGAGGGGAAAGAAGATGCAGAAGCTGTGAAAAATGAAGCTCCTAGAACATCCCTCTTGTGTCCAAGATCCAAGCTCAGCACTTGGGTGTACTGCCCAGGGGAGGAAGATCAAGCCACGGAAGAAGAAAGAAGAACAGAAAGTAAAAAAGCCAAGAAGACCTCCATATCCCCCTCACCTTCAAGCTCTAATCCTAAGGCCTTGGAATATTGTTCAGGAAAAGAGTGTGAGGGGAAGGATGAAAAGGCACTCAAAGAAGCAAGTGACCCAAACCTACACTCCTTGGTCCGAGCCCAGAGATCCCTGCTCAAGTCCTGGGAATATCACCCTAGAAAGTACACAGAAGAAGGTGAGGACAATGTGGGGGCAGCTGAGAAAGAGAGAGGAACTGAAAGTCCTTCTTCTGTCTCCCCACCAAGTGTCTCCTTAAAGGCCTGGGCATATCAGACTGGTGAGGACACAAAGGAAGAGGAAGATGAGGAAGAAGACAATGATCTAGGAGAAGCAGAGGCTTCCTCTTCCATTTCCCCTACAAGTGCCTTCTTGAAGACCTGGGTGTACCGGCCAGGAGAGGATACAGAGGAAGAAGATGACAGTGATTCTGAATCAGCTGAGGAAGAGGGAGAAGGTAAGGCTACTTGTGCAGCCAGTACAGGTGCCTTCTTGAAGTTCTGGGCACATCAGACTGGAGAAGACACAGAGGAAGAGGAGGAAGAAGACAATGATTTAGGAGAAGCTGAGGCTTCTTCTTCCATTTCCCCTATAAGTGCCTTTTTGAAGACCTGGGTGTATCGGCCAGGAGAGGACACAGAGGAAGATGAGAACAGTGATTCTGAATTAGTTGAGGAAGAGGGAGAAGCTGACATTCTTTCTTCCACAAGCAGTACAGGTGCCTTTTTGAAGGCCTGGGTCTATCGACCAGGAGAGGACACGGAGGATGAAGATGAGAGAAATGAGGATAAAGGATATGATTCCAAAGTAGTTGGGGAAGAAGGTGACTCAGACCCTTCCCTTCAGTCCCAGAGTGCCCTCCTCAGGGGCTGGGTATGTCGACCTGAAAAGGAGACAGAGGAACAGAAAGCTGCCAAAAAATGGGGAGAAGCTGAGCCCTGCCCCTTCCGAGTGGCCATTTATTTACCTGGAGAGAAGCCGCCCCCTCCCTGGGCTCCTCCTAAGCTGCCCCTCCGGTTGCAAAAGCGGCTTAAGTTCTCAGAAACCCCCACGTGGGATCCTGACCCTGAGACACCCCTAAGGGGCAGAAAGGTATGTGCAGAGGGCCCAGATTCTTAAGTCCTAGAGAGGAGGGGTCTGGGAACTAGAGCTCCTGGGTCCAGGGAAGAAGGGTTGGAGGTCAGGGTCCTTTATGGGTTGCAGAGGGTTGCATGTGAACTCTGTTGGGAGAGCCGTGTCTTCTGTCACACAATCCTTTGTAAGAGGCCTCTGTGGGAGGAGAGAGCAGCTGTGGCTCAGCCCCACGGGTACCTTCAATGAGTCAGGTAGAAAATCCTGTGACTGTTGACAGGCGGGTGACTAACCAGATAGCAAGCATTTTTGTGTAACTAATTTTTGCTTCCTTTGGGATTTCTGTGGTGGCATGCATCTTATGTCTGCATCCTTCTGACTTCAGACTGTGCCTGTCTGTCCCCAGGTGCGCTTCTCTGAGAAGGTTACTGTCCATCTCCTGGCTGTCTGGGCAGGGCCAGCCCAGGCTGCCCGCCGGGGCCCCTGGGAACAGTTTGCCCGGGATCGAAGTCGCTTCCAGCGCCGCATCACCCAGGCCCAGGAGGAGCTAGGCCCTTGCCTTACACCTGCTGCCCGGGCCAGAGCCTGGACACGCCTGGGGAACCCACTTCCTGCTCTGGACTCCATCCTTGCCCCTACCCAGACCTTGCCATCCTCCTCTGTCTCTTCTGAAGCCCCATTCGGGCCATACCCTTGAGCCATGCTGCGGCCACACCCTTTTCCTCCCTTTCTTGTGCTGCCACTGCTCCTAGCCTGGACCTCAGTGGCAGGCATAGCTAAGACCAACTGGTTTGCATATTATTTATTAACTATTTTTTTAAGTATCGATTTATACAAGAAATAAAGCTTTTTGATTTCTAGTGAGCAATGTCTCCATGTGTGTCAGAATTAACAGTATCCTACTTATGAGTCCTGGAGGAAGGTGGGGGGAGACAGTGTAAAGGCAAGTGACTCGACAGAGTGTAAACTACATTTCCCATCATCCATCTCTCATTGCCATCTCTTGTCCTGGGACTTTGAACTTAAGGGCTGACAGGTTTGTAGTTTTTCTTTGTCATTTGTCTAAATTTTATTAAACTTGGAACAATTATCTCCCCAAGGAGGCTGGAGCCTTCAGTCTTTAATCTTGAAAA